TCCGGGGGCTTAACGCGCCTGGCGCGGCAGCAGCTCCACAACCGCCCCCCGCTCCTCCGGCGGTAAGCGCCTCCCGGCCCTCGGACTCCAGGGAGCGGACCCCCGGCCTGGTCGCCCCGCCCCTCCTCTGCATCGGAGCCCCGCCCCCACGTCGACGCCCCCCTTTCACCCTCCTCCTCCCCCTCCTCGTCACGCCACCCCGTCCCCACCTGCCGCCCCTGGCGCTCCCCGCTCGCCCACCGTCCCCCGTTTCCCTCTCAGTCCTTCTCGCTCCACCAGGCCCCTCAGCCTTTCCCCTAAGGCCACCGTTCTTTCCCTCAATCCGCCGCCCTCCCCGCCCAACATCGGCTTTTTCCGTCCATTCTCAGCCCTGTTGTCGGCCATTTCCGTCAAGACTCGGCTCCCTTCGTCACTACAGTGCCCTACGTAGGCCACCCTGGGGCCCTCTCAGCCCTCTCCGCCAACTCTCGGTTCTTTCCGTTGCACCCGGCTCTTAGCCTGGACCAAGGAATTCTTTCTGCACGTTAAAACCTTGGGATCCACGCATATATAATCTGTGATTATTCCTCTGTCTTTATTGAAATCACATCTTCTGGAAGAGATCTGATCCCCTGGAAGCTCTAGCACATTCTAGGGGTTAAGGGTCAAGGGTAAAGGTCAACATCTGGGTCAGGGTCAAGGGTCACAGGATCAGAGTTAGAGGGTTAGGGGTTAGAATTAAGAGTGTCAAGGTCAGGGTCAGGGTCAAGGGTCACAGTCATGATCTGGGGTATAGCGTTAGGGTTAGAGGTCAGGGTCAAAGGTTGTCAGGGATTAGGGATCAGAGTGTGAATGAATTATACAGCCAGCCATATCAGTAAACAAAGGATACTGTGGCCATCAAGTCATCCGACGCTACCACCACCCCTGACAGTGAGCAGAGAGATCTTAGGATGGAAACAAGCAGGCAGCCTGGCCTCTGCAGCCACCCAAGTAGTGCCCCCGAGGGAACTCTGGATGGGAAAGAACAGGACACTGGCCCTAGACAGCTAGGTGCGTATCCAAAGAATGATTTCAATAAGCCCAGATGTTTGCACCTTTCCGTAAATAAAAAAGTGCTAAATTCCTTAACTTGAGATATCTGCCTTTGTTTTTGTTTTTAGTTAACAGTAATCTTTTGATGTTCTGACTACCTGGTCTTTGTGGCAAAACTCCTATATATCCGGGCTCCTCCCCTGCCTCTTTGGAGCAGTCCCTCAGAGCAATCTGAGAGGCTGCCTCTTAGGTTCTGGTCCTCAGAATAAATAAAGTCTGCAGAATAAAATAACTCTCAACTTTTAGGTTATGCATTTTTAAGTCGACAAGAGTCACATCAGGGTTAGAGGGTTAAAGGGTCATACTCGCAGTCAGGGTAATGGGTCAGGATTGGTGTGGGGGTCAGGGGTTAGGGCGAGGGCAAGGATGAAGGCAAGACGCATTAGGGCTTCAGAGTTAAGTATTAGGCCTTAGGGTCAGGGTAGATTTAAACATAACTGGCCCTCTTCCCCCCTCTTCCCTCTTCATCTCTGAGGCCTCCAGGATGGACAGGAGGCTCCCAGGGTTACATGTGAGTGTGGGGTTGAGTTGGATCATTAGATTTTTTGGCCTCTAGTCCTGGATTCTGATAGAAGATGAATGAAGTGTCCACCCTGGTCTCTGACTGTTTAAAGTCCAACTCAACCTCAGCCAAGGGTTGTTATGGCCTCAGAGGTCAGAGTTTCCCTCTGTCATCCCCCCTGGGAAAAGTGGAGTTGGTTCTATGCTCTCTGGGCAGCCCCTGGTCCAGCATAGCCCTGACACACACAGGCACTCAGTAGACACGTGTGAATTTGTACAGGACTGGGTGCAGCCACTTGCCAGTCCCCAGGTTGCCTTTTTGAAGGCTTCCTGAAGGTCCTTCCTGGCACTGGCTGCATCCTTTGTCCCATCCAAGTAGGCAGCAGTTAACAGTCAGGCCTTTGACAGGATATCCCTAGACCCCTGACCACTCAGACAGGCATCTGTGTTCCTCCAGCTCAGGTCAGTGTGGACCCTGTTAAGCCCCCCTGACCAATTACTGAGATGACTGTGCTGCTGGGCAACTGAACAGCCACCTGGGCAGTGTAGCATCCCCTTGGGACGCTTCAATTCTCTATATCCATGTGGCTGTCAAAAGGGCCTCCCTCTCAGAGCCTCTTAGCCTGCCAAGAGAGGTAATTACCCTCCATGTGGTTACAACAACCACACGCAGACTGTGGCCCTGCAATTCTTTGGCCTTCTAGTTGTTACAAACTTGACATTTACACTCGTTAAGAATCAAAGCTATGGGAGCAAATGGGCCTTACAATGGGTGGTTTTACCCCAAGGCCACAGGGTCCCAGGGAGCCACGTACGTCCAGGGCCCAGTCCCTGTGGCCTCTGGGAAGCCATCTAACTGTGGATTCCATGTTATGGAATAATCCTTGAGCCTCCCGCTGCTTCATCGAGTAAGAGTTTCCTTACCACCCCAGCTATTTTCTCTGCAGTCCCCTGCAGCCTACAGATCTTCACCCGTTCATCAGAACATGCAGTGTTTCTAGACACTTTCAGCAGAAGCACCCCGGGCCTGTGTAAGCAGAGGAACAGATTGGGTTCAGAAGCTGGAGCTCCCCGAGATCTTGACACTTGGAGGGGACCAGAGATGGCATCCCTGATAAGACATGTCCCTACTCCTTCCAGCCTCCTTGACCCCACGCAGGTCCACTTCTCAGAGGTCTTCATGGAAGGGCCCCCTTGTAGGGGCCTTTGATGTGTCAGATGGCCAGAATGTCACCCAGAGACATGTGCTGAGTGAAGGGTCCCCCATCATGTCCCCAGCCCCAAACCATGAGATGTGGGTCTCAGGAATGCCCTCCTCCAGGAATGAGGTCCTTTGTGTTCCAAAATGGCCCAACCGTGAGGGAGGGGCTTGGTGGGGGCTGTTGTCCATCAGTTCCTGGCTCTTCCATCCCTGTTTCTCCCGACAGGGGCCCTTGTAGGAAAAGCTTCTCAGGTTCTACTCTGAGGGAGGATTGCAGTCTTAGATGTCCCCAGGGAGCCTGGGCCCAGGGGACACTCAGGGAGTAGGGGGATCCATGGCGAGCAGGGGAAACAAGCTCCATCCAAAAGGGCTCCCACCCAGCCCCGGAAGGGCTTGGTCCCGGGGGAATGTCACCCAGGAGACCAGAACTCCTCACTTCATATCAAAACAAACAAACAAACAAAGCCAGAAGCCTGGGTTTTTGTCCGAAATCTTCCAGTTTTTTAATGTTAGAATTAATTTAAAAAATCTAGATTTGCCCCTGGGACCTAGTTCAAGGCCCTTGGTTTAAGACCAAGGGTGAGCTGGGTGGCCACCCCAAGGCAGGGTCCAAGCTGGATGCTCTGTCACTGCACAGCCCTGGTGCCCATGTCCCTACATGGTGCCTCCTCATGGATGAACAGGGGACGACTTCATTCCCCAGGAACCAGCCCTCATACATGGTCAGGCTATGGAGGGGTCAGGGCTCTTCCGGGGCTACCCTTTCCTTCAACAGATCCGTGGCAGCTGGAGCTTCAAGGCCCCACCCACATGTTCCCGCGCACCCCTCCCCCGCCCCGCCCCAGCATTGAGTCAGCCCTCTATCCACCAGCCTAGGTTTGCTCTGCGTGCTGAAGGCCTGGAATTACCTCCTCCAGGGAAGCATCCCTGTGAAGGAGAGCAAGTGTGCCTTCCCTGGAGCTATAAACCTGTACTGAGCTCCTGCTGTGTGCTTGGTCTTAGGTTGGGAGCTTGAGGGACTATGGCAAGCCTGGGCATCTGACCGCTAGAGACCAATTCAATCAGATGAGAAGGCAGTGATGTCAAGGGCTTCAAGGAGAAGGGAGGACACATCTGATGGGGGAGGAGGGCCAGTGACTGGGGCGGCCTCTTGAAACAGCACCACGATGTGATCTAGTGGGGACAGCGGACAGGTGTGCTTGGTTGAACAGAATGCACAATGGCTCAGAAGATGCGGGGAGTAGGGGGGACGTGGCCTGTCCCTGTGACAGGCCTCTTTCCC